GAGAGCACATTTAGCTGTCGAAAGTGAACAGTAAGAAGGGTCACACATCGGTGGAGGAGGCGAACAGGGACTGTCGAAAACAGAGAAGTGCAGGTATTATGTCAAGGGAAGAGTTATAAAAGCAACCATTAGGACAAAAAGATGCAAACTCATTTCACGCAAAAAAGTAAGCAAGATAAACAGGCTACAGGTAGATCATTGATGTTCAGAAAGCACAGAGATGGGGAGAGATTCGGGGGAGTCCTCGAGGACGCCAGCAGTAGGAGAGTTTGTGACCCATGATATTTCGAGTGGGCCAAGAATAAGTGATGGAAGGAACAGTCCATTTTAGATAAAGCCCTCAAGCCCAAAACTAAAGAAGACTCTTTTCATAAAGTGCTCATAGGAAATGCTCACCAGAATTCACCGCATATTGATGATACAGAAAACCTTCCTGAGCTCAGACAGGTAGAACTAATGCAGACACGTGATGAATTTGAGATTATGAACAAAGCAAGAAAGAAACAGAACCCAAATCTCCATCTTCAGCATTTCCTGGGTCGAAGAAGAAAGGCTACCTGGAAGTGCACAGAATCCAGAAAACACATCTCAGAGCCTGTGGGAAGCAGGGCAGGGTTGAGAAGAAAAATTGCAGATTAAATATTTATATTATTGAGCAGGAAAGCGTGAAGAGAGATAGATTAAAGACCCCGCTCGAGAACTCAGGAAAGGGAAACAAAATAAGCCCTAGTCAAGCAAAAAGTAGGAATTTGCAAAGATCAAAGCCGAAGTTAATAAGAAAGTGAAAAACAGTGGAAATAATAAATCTAAGTGCCCGTGCCCGAAATAAAGCCAGTTCAATGTATGAATCCCCCACAGTCCCAGTGAAAAATGAGTAGACGCACCCCCCCACACACACGTGAGGGCTGAGGAGAAGCAGAGTTTCTGGCAGGGGGGGCGTGCGGGTCTTGCTCAGCAGCACCCTGCAGGTGTGGACACGCACATGGTCCCGGGGCTGGAGCTCCTGCACTGGACCCTCGTGAGCCGCGCCTCGACGGTAGGGAATAGAGCAAACACGTAAGTAGATCTAAAAAGAATAGACGTGAGTCGTACCACAGCTCAACTTAAGTAACAATCTGAATGAAACGAATACTGCGACTCCGGAAGTGATAGAAACGTTAGAGGTTAAATACCCAGGTGTTGCCCAGTGGCCGCCCTGCCCTCCCCCCAAGAGAAGCAGCAGAAACCAGTCGCATCGGGCTGAGGCAGTTTTGGGGGGAATCTGTGAGGCCGTCCGAACACGGACCCCGTGCGTGCCGTGCGCGCTGACCGGAGCTCGGGGGGGGGAGGCTGTGGGCGGTGAGCACCGTGCGCGCAGGGGCTCGGGCTGCCCACGGGTCGGGCGCGGAGCCCACAACCCAGCCGCGCCCCACGGTTTCCCCCGCACTGGGCTCCTGGATTGTTTGTGGGGCAAGTGCTCCGTATTTGCTGAAAGGCGTTGGACAAAAACCCAACGTTAGTCTTAATAAAACGTGAACATATGGATGATTTCTCAGCATAATAGAGTGTGTCTACTTCAGCCCCAAACTGACATGCTGTAAATAGGACGCTACGAACTTGCGCTCCAGGGACACCACAGACCGCTCGGGACGTCCGGGGCTCCTGGAGTGGGCGGCAGCCCCGGGCCCCGGGGGAGCGGGCCTTCGCTCTCGCGGCGGACGTGACTGCGCCGAGCCCGCCGGCTGAGAGCCGCTGCAGCCGCCCGAGCGGCGGGCACGGGTCGGGGCAGGAGGGCTGAGGCCTGCACGCACAGATACCGACGAGAGAGAAAGCGCAGCCACGTGCAAGAGCAGCAGAGCGGGGTACACAGAAGCCCCCGCCGGCCATGCCCGGTGCGAACGCGAGCGCGAGGCTGAGGCGCCCCCGTGAGCCGGACAGGCGGCCACGTGCTCACACGCTGACTCCCCGGTCCGAGCACTTAGCCCAATCCCAGTGTTTTCTGAAAAGGTTTCGGTTTTTGTTTTGTTGAGGTGCTTGAGGGCAGGGATGGGTGGGAGAGAGGAAGGACCCTGGAACTGTCGCGGACAGGATGGCGGATGGAGGAGGAAGTCAGAGGCAGACGCAGAACTTGGTGACGGATGGCAAGGGGATGTCGCGCCTCGGGATCCTCGTATGGGGACGTCGGGGGCCGGCAGGGAGACCAGCGCATGCAAGAGCGGCCTCGCCACGGCGTTGACTTCATGCTGTCGGGTGGGAAGCGGCGCAAACCTTTGTCCCTGGAGACGGGTCGGCGAGAGGTGGGAGTTCACGGGGCCACAGACATGACCCAGGAGGCTGTCTCCGCACTGGTTTGGAAATCTCTCCAGAATAGATTAAGTGAGAAAACCAGAGTACCAAACAGGGTGAGGCTGTCTTACCGTTTTTCTAACAGTAAGTGAAGAGCTAAGTTAGGGGACGAGCCGATTCCTATTTGCGGGCGGAAGCACAGACCGTCCTGGAGCCTCACGGCTGGACGGCTCCCGGTGGCTGCAGCTAGCGCCGGGGTGACCAGGGTGCTTTTGCCAAGGCCTCTGGGGTGTGTACGCATTGTGTCCCACATCTGACCCTCGGGTCCTGGGGCTGCACAGCGTTCACGGCACGCGGCGGGAGGGGAGCAGGCCTGGGCCGGGACCGTGACGTCCCTGCAGAGCATCCTGTCTTGCGGCTCCACAGACCGGCTTTGCTGCACGAGCACTCGGAGCTGTGAGGTGTGCAGCCTGCTCTGCTCAGGACGTGGAGAGGGATCAGCCCAGACTGCGCTCGGGCTGGTTCTGTGTCCTTCCAGGAGAGTCGGCCTGGTCCAGCGAGGTCCGTGTGCCCACTGGCCTGTTTGGCTGTGGCCATGAAGAGGACACAGGGACCACCAGCTCCTGCATAAGCATCTGGGCGGTGTCAGAAAGGAGTGGGGAGCCTGGCCAGTTCAGGGAGGTGTATGTGTGGGAGGAGCAGGAAGGGCCCCGGACATGGTAGACGCCGCTTCTCCGTGAGTATGAGCAGGCTTTGCTCCACGTCGTGGCGCCATGGTGGGGTCACTTCGTGCCTGCCCTGTGCAGGGGTACTGTGGCCAGTGGGCACTGGCGGGCATGTGCCGGGACTCTGACTCCCTCCTTTCCTCTGGGGACTTTGCGGAGGCCACTCCCACTCGAGCTTGCTCTCCACGACCAGCAGGATTGGGGTCACCCACGATTGTGACCTCGATGATTAGTATCAGGGTTTCATACAGACTGGATGCCTCGGGCCCAAGAATTCCTAAACGAGCTGCCCCAGGGGGACGTTTCCAGGAACAGCCTAGAGAGGATGTTTTCGAGAAGGCTGCTCCTTCAGGCCCAGGAAGGCAGATACGTGGAGACACACTCTGCTCCCTCAGCCCCGGGCCGCGCTGATCTGTCAGCACCCTTCCCACAGACGCTGTTGGTGCCCAGCTCAGGACAGCGGCATCGTCCACGTGCTGGTGCAGGACTGGGAGCTCTCGGCCACCCCGGTGAAGGGGCAGGGGTTTCAGCCGTGCAGCCCAGAGGGTAGTGAGGCGGGTCCGCAGACGCGGACTGGACACGTCATTCCCAGCCTGTACCTTTGGGTGGGTGTGGCGGGAGGTCTCTTCCTGAAATCACCTGTCCCCTGGCGTGCACCGTCGGGTGGGGAGGTCGAGTGGCCTCCCTTTGGGGCATCAGGACAGGCGGCTGTGGGGAGGGGCCGCTGCGGGAGCTATGTGCAGGCCACCCCCTGATGAGGTAGGGAGACCCGTGTCTGCCCTGCGCCCCCACCCCGTCAGCTCCCCCTGCAGCACTCAGCAGGCTGTCATGGCCGTTGTCCCGTTCAGGGGCTTCTGTGGGGCCCTGGAGCTTGAGACACCGGTCAGCTCATACCCGTGCTTCTTTCTGCAGCCGACTAAGGTCATTTCTAACGAGCACTGACTTGTCAGAGCCCCTCGGGGATGTCCGCCCCGCAGACCGGGTCTTGTGTGATGAGTGGCGAAGGCTGACAGGTCCGCGTTCTTGGTGGTGAGCCCGCCACCCACGGGGCTGCATCGGCGGGAAAGCCTTGTGAACGACGAAGGCCCCCCTGCCACCTCTGCCAGCCTTCCTGTTCTCTGAACGCTGTGAACTCGGGGGCACTCAGAGCCCCCACCATCTGAGATTCCCACAGGAACCTCGAAACCCATGTCTGCGCCAGAGCAGACCATCCTGGGTGCACGTGAGGGCCCACCGCCCCCCTGCTTTCCTGTCTTGTTGCTCGGTCGGTCACCGAGCATCTGTTCTGGCGCAAGAACTGGGCGGACAGTGGTCAGAAGGACTGACCGCGGTCAGACTGACGGGTACAGAGCCACATGTGCGAGACAGGGCCCCGAGGAACAGCCCTGGCGTCCTGAGCAAGGAGCTGGGGTCGGGGAGGAGGCGTGCTCTCAGGGAGCAGGAGTTCTGGGGGCTGTACGCAGACTGTAGGCTCGCTCCCGTGCAGGCCCCCGCCGCTGGCCCCGTTCCTGCACCTGGACCACAGGCGGGAATCCCCTCCCTGCTCCTTCTCCGGCTTTTGTGCATCTCCAGTCCCCATTCCCTTCCAGGCAGTCTGCGTCACCTGTCATTCTGCAGGGAATTCAAAGCAGCAAATAAATAAGATACCATGACTCTTAAAGCAGATCAAAGCATTGGTAAACTTGGACTGTGTTTTTTCCAGCTGCTGGGACCCCCTTTCCCCAGATTTTGATGTTTCCCGTCAGCATGCCCCAGAGTCAGTGTGTCTGCTGCCGCCCCAGGGGTGGGCGCCGAGAGGGATGTTGTGTCTGGCGGGCTGTGAGGTCTGGCCGCCCCGGGTCCCCGGGGCACAGGGTAGCCCAGGAGACGGCGGCTCTGCCCCCAGTGTCACCCCCTCCCCCTGGGAGCCGGGTGCAGGATCTCCGGTCTCGGGGCCCGTGGGGGCGGGTGGGGCGGGTGGGGCGGGGCGGCCGCAGCACCTCCCGCTCACCTGCTTGTGCTTTCTCGCAGCTGGAGATGGAGGTGAAGATGCTACAGTCTCAGTCCAGCACCGCCGAGCAGAGCTTCCCGCTGTCCAGGGAGGAGGCAAGCTCGCTCAGGTACGTCAGCACCTGCGGCCTCCGGGCCTGCCTTTCCGAATCATGCTCCGTCCACTCGGAGTCCTCTGCATGGACACTAGGCTCTGCGCCCCCAGCACTGAGGGGTGTGCCGGGTTCAGCTGCCTGTGCGGGGGCAGCACAAACGGCCCTATTTCAGAAGAGAGCTGCTCACAGGGCGCGTCCCGAATGTCAGCCAGGCCACCTTCAGTCCGTGTGTCCGGCCTGCCCAGAACACGCCTGTTTCCCCAGAGGCTTTCCCGATCCTCCTGACCCTGTCCTGACGCAGCATGCCGCCCACCTCCTGGGCCGGGAGAGGTAGCAGGTCCTGAAGGAGGAGGTTTTCAGGGACACCTCGGTGGAGCTCTGAGGGCCTACTCCCAGCTCCCCTTGGCTCCCCCAGTTGGCCCTGTTGTTTCAGTTTGTTACTGGAAAGTGGCCGATGGGCAGGTAGATGGCGTCTCCCCAGAATCTCTGGGTGCAAAGTGAGTGCAGGCCAAGCAGCCTGGGTTCTGGGGTGCTCTGAGCGCCTGCTGCCGGCCAGGCACAGGGCGCCCGCTTTCCCATCCTCAGGAGCTTCGGCGGGTTGGGGAGGCGGGGTGGGTGAGCACCCTGCTGCTTGGTGACGTGGCTAGGGGTTGGGGCGTGAGCTCGTCAGGCCCTGTGTCCCCCTCTGGGGCTGTTTGCTCGTCTGTGCTGGGCGGGCAGCCCTCCTTTGTGGGTTGTGAGAACCGGGAGCGATACGATGCGTCGGCCATGGACTTCCCCACGGGAAGTGTGTGGGTGCAGGCAGTGGCCCCCTCTGGGTTCCAGGTTTCTCCCGTCGTTTCCGGAGCCTCTCTCGTGTCAGGACCTTGGCCTCGGGACCCCCCCGGTTCCGCAGTCGCCCGTTTGTTATCCTCCGACTTGTTCAGATGCGAGTGTGTGCTGTGGGCGTCCCCCGGGCTGAGCATGAGGACGAAGCAGGGTGAGCAGGGGCACATCTTGTCTGTCTTCCTGAATGTTACAGCGTAACGGGGGTTAGGGGGACGTCGTTCGCATAAAATCACGTCAGCAGCGTGGGGCTGCCAAAGCAAGGCAGAGGTGCTGCGAGAACCGGTGTCCATGGGGGGCTCTGGCGGTGGGCCAGGCGGGGATGGGGACCCAGGGGTCAGCGGGGAGGCGGCAGCGTGTGAGGGATGCGGGCGTGCCGTCCAGGCCCGGGCCTGCTGTTGGCTGCGCTCATTTGCATGGGCTGTCACGCTTTGGGTGGATTCCTTTCTATTTATCTTTAAGGTTTAAATAAAGGCTTTATCAGTGATACTTCGTACATCAAGATCAAAGCTTCCCGCCCCCACCATTTCGTTTGGTGAGAGCAACTGTGGGAGACGAGCCTTTGTGGCTAATTAACCAAAACTGGGTCGACAGTTGTGTGGACCACTTGCCGGGGCACGTGCACATCGCCCTCCGAGTTTCTGGCCGCTCCAGGGAGGGCTGGAACCACGCCTGACAGCGCATCGTGCGCTTCCCCCTCAGCCCTGTGGCGAGGGTCCCTGCTGGGCAGGCTCCAGGGTCCGCTGAGCACAGCCACGGGGAGCCCCCAACCCCGGCCCTTTCCCGGGACCAGTGGCTAGGAAACAAGGTCTGTGAGGCCCTGCCAGCCCCTCAGCTGCTATGGTGCGGGTGGACCCCCCAGTTTACCCCCCAGTTCACCCTGCCGTTCACCCCACGGTTCACCCCGCTGTTCACCCCACGGTTCACCCCCCGGTTCACCCCAGGTTCACCGCCCCATTCACCCCACGGTTCACCCCGCTGTTCACCCCACGGTTCACCCCCCATTCACCCCACGGTTCACCCTGCTGTTCACCCCACGGTTCACCCTGCTGTTCACCCCCCGGTTCACCCCGCTGTTCACCCCACAGTTCATCCTAGGTTCACCCCCCTGTTCACCCCACGGTTCACCCTGCTGTTCACCCCACGGTTCACCCCTTGGTTCACCCCGCTGTTCACCCCACAGTTCATCCCAGGTTCACCGCCCCATTCACCCCACGGTTCACCTCCCGGTTCACCCTGCTGCTCATCCCCTGGTTCACCCCCCGATTCACCCCACGGTTCACCCCGCTGTTCATCCCACAGTTCACCCCAGGTTCACTGCCCCATTCACCCCACGGTTCACCCCGCTGTTCACCCCACGGTTCACCCCCCGGTTCACCCTGCTGCTCATCCCCTGGTTCACCCCCCGATTCACCCCATGGTTCACCCCGCGGTTCACCCCCCGGTTCACCGTCCCGTTCACCCCACGTACCCCGTGCCTTTGCTCCTCCCGGCGTCCCCTTCGTGGTAAACGTTCCCAAGTGGTGCCATGCCCCAGTTTCCCGTGTCACACGCCATGCTTTGCTTTCCTGGGAAGCTGCACGGGGCCACTCAAGGGTGGCCCTTCAGCTGGGAGGGGCGGGTGGGGAGGGCCCGGCGGGTAGCAGCCACCCGCACCCCCATGAGAGGCACCCTGGCCCCCAACAGGACCCTAGAGGCCCCCCAGCCCCCTTCCTAATCCCTTGTTCTCCCCACGAGTGGGCCGCTCGTGGCCTGCTGTTGGTGACCGGGGAGCCCGTGGTCCTCGGCGACGGGGACAGACACGGGCAGATGGGTGTGTTACCTGTGAAGTGCATGGGGTCGAGGATGTTAGGTGTAGGCGACGTGTTAACTGTGTGCACACGGGACGTTGCTCTTTAACCAGCAAACCAGGGGAACCTGCGCAGAGAGGGACGTGGATGCTGCGGGCCTTTCCGCCGGAAAAAATCCTGGTACTCTTTTTTGCTTTCACGTGGCAGCCAGGTCCTGAATGTGGTCTGTGTATTCAGTGGCCAGGTGGACTTCAGTCCCCCGGAGTCGCGTGTGGCTCTGCCACACCTGCCGGCCCCTCCCCCTGCTCTCGGCCCGGTCCCAGGCCCTCTCCACCAGCCCAGGACCCCTGCTTCGGGGACGGCAGGCACCGTGCCCCCTGGTCCCACCCACACCCTTTCCAGAAGGCCAGGTGCTAGACTCTTACTCGTTTTTTAAAAAATCTTGTATTGCTCAAGTCCTTGTTGAACACCCCGTCTTCTGTGCACCCACGAGTCTACGATCAGGAAGACACAGGCCCTGCCCCCTGAGCTCCCAGAACGGTTGGGCGATCTCAGAGATGAGGGCACTGCTGGACAGGGCCATGGCCGCCCGGCCCCACCCACAGCCCAGGCCTTGAGGGCAAAACTAGCCTCCCTGCGTATCAGACCTGCTGATGCCTCCTCCTTTCAGACCTGGGGCCGTGGGCCTCAGCGAGTGGTCCTGGTGGAAAGGTGGTGCTGCCGGGTGAGGCAGTTCTCCAGCCCTGGTGCTCACAGGCCATAAGCTCCTGGGCCAGCACCGGTGTCTCAGGGTAGGCCGGGGAGGCCGGGGCCAGCCTGCAGGAGCCTCTGCGGCCTCACACTCCCCGCCGACTGGCAGCTCCGTTGGGAGGTCGGACGGGGAAGCCTCTGGTCAGCAGGACTCCTCCTGGGCCACAGGCACCCCTGTGAGCAATGGCCTGACCACCAAGCCCGGGCCCCTCTGCCAACCCCCTGCTCCGCAGGCTGGAGCTTGGTGGCCTCTCCCGAGGGCCGGGTGCCAGGCTGCAGAGAGATGCGGCAGTGGAAGTGTGTGCCTCTGTGCGTCTCTCTCGGGGCCTAAGCGTCTTATCCTTCACGCCTGTCTCCACCTGCTGCAGGGACCCGCTCGGGCCTGTGCTCCTGTGCTGTGCGGGGCGCTCAGCGGCCTCTGGAGACCCTGCCCTTCAGTCCTTGGGGATTCTCTTGGGTTCTTCCTGGATTATTTCTTCTCTTCGGTTTCTCTAGTTCTTCTTTCTGAGACTAGTATCATTTGGGTGTTGAACTTCCTGAATTCGTGCTCTGTTTTAAAAAGATTTTTGGTCTTATTTTCCATCTTTTTATTTTACTTTCTGTAACATATTCTCAGATTTATCAGCCTGTTCTTATTGTATTTCTACAGTGATGTTTCCTAAAATTTCTTGTTGTTTGGTTCCTTGCATATCCTTTTATACTTCAGACGCCTTGTTGAGGCTTCACGAGCACACTGTGTCCGCTCTGCAGCTCTCTTCTCTCCGGGCGGCCTGTTCTCTTGGCTGCTTCCGTGGTCAGGTCAGCATGGCGGGTATAAACCAGACCTTGCTCTCTCAAGAGTGTGGTGGGCCCGGCCATCTGCTCACGGTGCAGGTGGGGCCCGGAGGGCTCTGCTGGGCCACCTCACATGGCCTCGGGACTGGTCGTGTCTTTGGGGAAGATCCTGTCTGCGAGGCGTAGGTGCTGCCGTCACCTGGGAACTGAGGGGACAGGACGGGGAAGCTCAGCATCACTATGGAAACCTTCCTGAAGGCCCCCAGTCACAGCGGTGACTTTGCACTTTATCTGGTGTTCCTTGGCCCAGAGACCCACTATTTTCTCTCTCAAGAAAATAAATCTCTGATGTTCTTCTAAGACAGGGAGAGAAAAGGGTGACGGGAAACACAGAGATGCTGGCTTTTCCAAAGATCTCCATGCCCCCTTCTCGTCAGTCATCCCGTTCTGCCATGCCCTCCCCTTGTGACTCCAAACCCTGCATGACACACAGGCGGGCAAGACCTGGAAGGGGAGCGAAGGCGACCCCCATGGGGCCCTGGGACTTGAGCAGCGTGGTGGTGAGCTCCCCGAACCCCTGGACCAGGAGCTGCAGAGGCTCTGACCCGGACCAGCTGCAGGCACACACCTGGGAGGCTCGAGGGAGAGCCTTTCCGACAACCCCCACCCCACGACAACCAGCAGGGGCACTCGGGCCCCACAGCCCGTGTCAGCCGGGCCAGTGGTGACCCACCTTCTGCACCCCCAGAGCAGGCAGAGTGCCGGCTGTGTCCGCAGGGCGAGGGGAGCTGGCCTTCTGTGGCCCCCTGGGCAGGAGCCGCCGCCACCCAGATTTCCCTGTATCCGAGAGCTGTAGCAAGACCGCAGGGCCTGCTC